GATAAAAGATAAATTTCAGTAAATTATAGAACTATGCAATATTTTAAAAGTCACTTGACTGTCCTAATATCTAACTACCTTAAAAGCAAGGACACTTTCTTTCATTCTATAAGCAACAGTTTTCAGAATAATGTTAAAAATAGCTCTCATTTATTGAGTGATTTCTTTCTGCAAGGCACTACACTAGGAAATTCTAGAAAATCTGTAATTCTCAAAATAACTTACAAAGATAAATATTATTATCTTCACATTAAGAATAAGAAATAAGGTTCAGAGATATAGTGTACCCCCAGTTAGCAATTGATGATGTTAAGCCTGGAACTCAGATTGGCCTAATTTAAAAGTCTGAATTTTTGCCATGATGCAACGCTGCCTCTTAAAATCATTCATTCAACAAATACTTATCTAGTGTCTTATTATGTACCAGGCATTGCAGAAGGTACCAGGTATACAAAGATGTATTTGTGTCATTGTAGTCTCACCTTCCAGTCCTATCTAGGACAGAAAAGTGTTATAAAACAATAATTGCAACACATTGCGATAAGTGCTATGAAAGAAGTATGTATAAAAATACCATACATAAGTGGGAATGTTAACTCTATGTAACACAGCAAGTGATCAAAGAGGGCTTCGTTTAGGAGAAAAATGCTTGGTACACAGACCTCATATAAATATTTGATGTAACTCTTAAATTAAAAAAGTGTAGTTTGCAGATGGAGAAGAATCAAGATAGGATATTCTAGGGAGAAAAAAGCCATATTTGCAAAAGCACAAAGTTTCAGAAAATCTAAACAGTTTAGTATAGCTAAAAAATAAGATGCCTGTGACAAGTGGTAAAGAAGTAAAAACAGGCCAGTTCAGGGAGGTTCTCATATGCCATGCTAAAAGAGTTTGTGCTTTATTCTGTAAGAAATTGGGAAGTTTTCCTAGAGTTTAATCAGGCCACTGTTTTATAAAGATACCTTGTCAAACTAAATAATGAATGTGGGGGCAGGGACACACTTTTAGAAGGCTATCACAAATAGTCCAGGTAGTCTACTGCCATGCCACCCTGAACAAGCCCAAACCTGTCTGATCTTGGAAGCTAAGCAGGGTCAGGCCGGGTTAGTACTTGGATGGGAGACCACCTAGGAAGACCAGGTGCTGTAGGCTTAAAAAATAAGGGATTGTAAACTGACAAGGTCTTTGGAATCTGTGAGGTCAACTAGGGTTGCCTCGCCTAAAAAGAAAAAATTAAAAAAAAAAAATGATAATCCAGGTATTACAATTTATAATCTCTTAGTTTCAGACTCCTACACCTACCTGACATTTTGGAGATCTCATAGACATTTCTAACCTATATATCCAAAACCAATTTTTTCAATTTCTCCACTAAATTTGTGTGATCCCTGCTCTTTCAGAAATAGTACAACCATGCAAGTTACTCAAATCAGCAATCTGGGTTCATTCCTTATTTCTCCTTCTCCCTTAACGACCAAATTAAATCCAGGTATTATTAATCATCAATTATTCCTAAAATATATCTCAAATGTATCCGTTTCTTTCCAGTTTCATTGCCATTAACTATCCCAAGCCACCACTGCTCAACTGGAGTACTACAAAGCTCCCAACTGGACTCCTCCATGTTTTCCTTACTATCAATTGGTTTCTTTAAAGTACTTATTGCAATTGGAAATTATTTTTATCTGTTTACTGAAATTTTATCTCTCCCTCATAAGACGCCTTCGTAAAGTCAAGGAACACAAACCATCTTGTTCATCACTGTTTCACTCCAGTACTCTACCATTAGCCAGGTCAACAGAAACAATATTACTAAAAAAACCAATATACACTTACTATGTCAGGCACTATTTTATGTGTTTTACATATATGAAGTCATTTAATTTTCCAACAACACAGGTATTTTATTATTTCACTTTTACAGATAAGGAAACTAAGGCACTAATCTGTGCAAGGTCACCCAAGGAGGAGTACATGGCAGAACTGGGAATCAAACTTCCGCAGTCTGTAGCCCACCCTCTTGACCATTACACAGCACCTCTCTTAGTAGCTCAATAAATATTTCTTGACCAAATAAACAAATGAGACAGAGAGTAAATAAAAGAGGAGCAGATTTAGGGGACATGTTGAATTTGAAATACTTGGTAAAGGCTGTGAGGTACAGCAGGATAAATAGTTACAAACTAGAATGAAGCATTCAGAAGTTATCAGGTTCTATAGGAAGCCACCTATAAAATGCAAGCCTCTGTATAAAAAGTAATTATATAATTTTAAAAAGTAGATGTGCTCTTAAACTGTAAGTCTTTAGATTCACCTGTGTAATAAAAACATGTTTTACAGAGCACGGAATGCCCCATTGAGCCTTGACTGTACCTATAAAAAATTCTGTATTGTTAATATAAATTGAAATACTTTCCTTTCTTTTAGTATTCAGTATCTATATAAACCTCAAACTTGTATTTTGTTAAAATATGAAAGCACAGATTTATTTTTAATTTGACAAAATGATACCAAAAATCTATCTAATAAAATACAAGAAAATGTCTAAAAAAGTGTGGAAGCACGCTTTATCTACTAGATATCAAAACATAAAGTTACAGGAAATTAAGATAATGGGTATGGTACAAGTCAAAGAAAAGACAGAACACTGAAAGAGAACAGTATACGTAAATTGTAAAATTAAATGTAAAAACAAATCAAATTTATATATACATATTATTTTATTATCTAATTTCTAAGCATCACAAATATCTAAGCATCACAAATAAACTAGAAACTATAAAGGAAAAGACAGATTTCAACACTAAAATAATTTAAATCATGTCATGGGAAAACAGCATTAAAAAGTAAAAAAACAAATTTCAAAATGCAGGGAAGACTTATAAAATATGTGACAAAGAGTTAAAAATCTAAGCAATCAATTCTTTAAAATTATTAAAAGACTATAATGGGTAACAATAGGCTGGCTACTCAAAGAGATTAAACAATGTACAACAAAGATATAACAGATGCTTAACATCAACAGAATTCAATTAAATACAAATTAGAGGGATCATTTTTTTCAATCAGATTGGATAGAATAACAATGGGAAATGGGTACTCTCAAATACTGTAATTAGGAAAAAATAGGCACAAGATTTCTATAAAGCAATTTAGGAATTACAGAGTATTTGTGGCTAAATAATTCTATATTAAAATAGATAGACATAAGAGGTAATCAGACGAGCATACAAAGATGGAGCTCACAACAAATATTGCTCTTAAAAGTTAATATTGATCCAGCAATCCTTTTGTATACCCAAAAGTTGTATTGAAAACAAGATTTGGAAATATTTACACATCATGCTCATTACGGCATTATTAACAATACCCAATAGGTGGAAGCAATCTAAATGTCCATTGGCAAATGAACGAACAAATAAAACGTACCACGTATACGTACAATGGAATATTATTCAGCCTTTATTAAAAAAAAAAAGGAAATTCTGTCATATGCTACAATATGGATGAACCTTGAGGACATGACGCTAAGTAAAATAAGCCAGTCAAAGGACAGACATTGCATGATTCCACTTATATGAAGTATCTAAAGTAGTCAAACTTCTAGAAACACAAAGTAGAATAGTGGTTGCCAGGGGCTGTGGGAGTGTAAAAGGAGAATTGTTCAATGAGCACAGTTTCAGTTTTGCGAGGTGAAGAAGTTCCAGAAATCTGTTGCGCGACAAAGTGCATATACTTAACACAATGGTACTGTACACTTAAAAATGGTTAAGATGGTAAATTTTGTTTATTACCACAATAAAAAAAAGTTCATAAAAAATAATATAAATATTTACGAAGAACTGATTATGTTAGAGGCATACAATGAAATACCAAATTGCCATAAAAACGATAATATATTTATTCAGGCATATCCACAGCCTATTGTCGAGTTAAAATACGTTTACAAATGAGCAAAGTATATGATACCATTCATACACATCTGTACCCATTAGAGAGAGAGATTGTAAGGATATTCACGAAAATTTAATAGTGGTATCTCTGGGCAATAGAATTACAGATGACTTTTATTTTTTTTAAAATATATTTTCCTGTGTTTTTAAATACAATGAATATGTATTAAATGTATGGCAAATGACAGCTCAAAAAAGGAAGTAAAGCCACCACTGGTTCCAGAATCCTGAGACAGAATTTTACATTTCTCTGTCACTACGTGGCATACACTGGAAGATTAATAAATATTTGAGAGGCAGATGAACAGTGGTCATGAGCTCAGGAATGAGACAGAGAATAGCCCCACATCCACAAGTGGCAGTTAAAAATCAGGAGGGATATCTCCGCTGCAGAGGTCCCCCTTGAGGCGACTCCCTTGAGAGGTCCCAGCACCATGCCAGGATCCCATGTCTAAAATTTACTGACCAAGGTAATGTCTTAAAGTCTGATTGAACTTCACTGAGGCCCAATTTTTTCCACTATAAAACGTCAAGTAACAGTACTTGCAAAATATTGCAAGGAAAATGTACTTAAAACATTTAACATCATTTCTGGCTCAGAGGAAACACTCAAGAAAACAATGGCCATCATTACTATTTATTAGTTTTCACTGGAAGAGCTCACAAAAAACAAAACAAAACAAAAACAAACAAGCAAAAAGAACCTCTAAGCATCTGCAGAAGACTATACCACTAAATTATACTGAAAATTCCAACTGCATTAAAAAACAAGAGACAATGCTCTGTCTGGTGGACCCGCAACACTGTTGGCTCAAAGGTATGGTCACATTCTTGTATCTAGAAGGATTATACTATAAAATTTATCATCTAGTTGGTGCATAAACACCATGAGTATTGGAAACTTATTAGTACTTTAGTAAAGAAAAAATAGAGAAAATACGCTTATTTTAATCCACAGGTAAAATGCAAAGAGGTGACAGAATAAACACACAAAACATGACTAATGAAGACTTAATTTAGATGAGAGATTAAAATAACGAGTGTTACCTTAATTTTGTTTGGCCTCTGTCTTCCTCGCTGCTTTTGGACAGGAGCCTGTCTTTTTGGCACTGCTCTATCTCCAAAGTTTGATATAGTATAGTATAAATGCTCAACAAATATTTACGAAATGATTTATAAAAGTAAATCTCGGTGAAACCATAGAAAAAACTGAGACTACCTGAAGAAGTCTCAGTCAAAATGATGAGGAAGAGTTTAAGAATGAAAGCCATTAAGCTTAGGGAGGAAAGGCCTTTCCTGATAACTCTGCATCTCCTTTATTCAATGACTTTCCCAAGGTACCTCAAAAGGAACGTCCAACAGCAAAAAATACACTCAATTTTGCAGCCAGAAGGGGATGCAAAACCAAAACCTATTTGCGTTAAACTTGTTAGGTTACGGGCTCCCAAATATTTAAATGATGTCTTTATTCATCAGTGTATTAGTGGCACCTGTAGCCATTTGTTTGATGTATGCTTTACTAAAAGAAAGATAAATGCACAATTCTTGAATATTAAATCTAAGCCGTTCTATAGCTTTTCTTTTTGGAACTTGTCTTTAGAAGTTTGTTTATGGAAGTGGGAGTTAGCTCAGAACTTGAGGGCCAGTTCTTTTTAGTCAAACTAACGACGTAAAGGTGAGGCCATGCTTCACACACCGACAGCGGCTAAAGGCATTAGAGGTACCCTCCACACATATATAGGTACAATCTAATAGTGAACAAGTAAAATTAAAAATAAAAACAAGAAAAATGAGACTCTGGGATTGAAGACTAGGGATGGAGAATGGCATTACGGACTTGGGAACTACCCACATACCATTTCACTCATTCGTTCACAAAATGCAATTAAATCCGTTCAATTTACTATCTGTCATGCAAGAAACTACCGACTTTCCCGCCACGCCACTCGCAGACGGCCACACCTGGTATATTTGCTGAAGAATCTCCAACTCCCGCCACAGGTTTGGCTTGTGTCCGCCCCAAAGCGGAAGTGACTTCAAAGGGACAAACTGAAAGTAAGAGAGTTCAAATACCAGGAATCTAAAACTCCTACGCTGTTCGGAGAAAAATCTTCTCTGACCACCAACCTCTCCTATCCCTTATCCTTTTTGGTAAAGTGGTGGCAAGGATTCACCACAGCCTCGCAACAACTAGTTCTCCGCCCCAAATTCCAAATCATTCAAAAATTCGTCCCTTCTCATTGGCCAACGAGGCGGCATGGATACCTGCAAAGAACTACAATTCCCGTCAGGCCCCGCGGGAAGTAACGAAGAAAAGGCTACGGGCCGGAGCAAAGCACATTGGGAAATGTAGTTTGCTCCACCCCCAAAAGGACAATCACACCGCCTTCTCCCAAGTGAGGCTGGAGAAACCAGGTGTTCGGGTTAGAGCCCGTTACCGCTAAGGGGAGGAGCCAAACTCTTAAGCAGCGTTCCTCTCTTCCCCCCACACGGAAGATGAAAATTTTCCTTTACTACTATAAAGCATTATAAACACTCCTTGAAGAAATATGGTGGTCTTTCCAATATCTCCAGGTCAGTAAAACTCCCAGAACTCCCCCGACCTCAAGCTCCAACTCGTGGGAAAAGGTGGCTCTTTTACAAGTGGGCAAAATGGCTGTCCTCTTGGTTTTCCCATTGGTTGCCTTTTGCGTCCTTCAAGGGCGGTTACTAAGCACCGATTGGCTCTTTTTCCCTTGAGGGTGGAGGAAGACTTGGCTCCGCTCTCCCGCGGCCCGGGAGGAGATAAAGGGGTGGAGAGAAGGCCATTTTTCCAGGCATGATTGGATGATTCTCATGTCACTCCGGGAATGTACAGCTTTTGATTTGTTTACTGCCCCTCAAAGAGAACGAAGAGGCGGGGCTAGTGCGTGGTGGGAAGGGGCGGGATTCTGCCAGCCGCGGCTGCCGCTGGAGCCGGTGTCCGGGCTGGTGATGGGGTTAATTCCCTTTCGTAAGACTCTTACTTGCACCCACCCAGCCCTGCCGTCGCCCCGCAGCGCCGCACTCCAACCGCCTCCTCCTCCTCAGTAACGCGGGTAAGCGATGCCCTCCCCTCACTCCTCCAGCTCCCCGGGAATAACGCGCCTCGCTCCCCTCCCCCGCCCGCCAACCGGTAGCGCTAACGGAGAAGGAGGCAGGCAGGGGAGAGATGTGGTGTGTGAGAAGGTGGCCTTCCCCGCGTAGCCGTCGGCGCTCCAGCCAGGGCCCCGCCGAGGTGCTGCTGCCAGCCCGCCGGGAGGTCGGGTTCCGAAGAGTCGGCTCTCCTGGCCCGCCGCTGCGGCTGCAGCTGCATCCACTACCTTGTGCCCACCGCCCCCACTCGGGGGCCATGTGAAAAGCAAACCCCTCGAGGCCTAGCGGAGGAGGCAGGGGAAAGGTTCCCGAGTCCCTGCCATGGCTGCTGCTGCCGCTGCCCTTGCAGCCCTCAAGGGACTCGGGAACCAGCCACAGCAGGCCTGCCAGGAACGGGTGCCGTGCGTGGTTCTGCTTTCTCGGGTGGCTGGCGCCGCTGCCCCGGGCTCCCCGGCCCATGCTACGACCGCGGCCCCCAGCCTTGAACCGAGAGAATTTCTAGAAAGGAAATAGGCATTCCGAATCGTTGCTGATATATAGGTACGTCTTGCCTGTGGTACCAGAAAAAGCACAATGGGAAAATTAAAAAGTTGAGTGACTGTCAGTGCCACGGACTCCGGGGGTCAGATTTACAACACGTTTTGGTTGAACCTTAAGCTGCCCTCCAGAATCCCTGTGTGTTTTGAAGTTTTTGTCGTTCCTTTTTTTGTTGTTGTTGCTAGGTGCAGAAGAGAGTGCATCTGTTCTTTGAGCTTGCTTTTTTATGTGGAAACTTAAATTATTAGGCTATCGTGCCCCGCTGTAATTGTCCTGGGATAGCGAGTCAACTAAGTAAAAGGTGAAGAGGTGCTTTCGAAAATAGTGAGACTTAGTAAATAAATAGCAGATGATTTTTATAATGAAATTTTCCAGGAAAAAAAAATATGTGTGTATATATTACGTGTATGTATATTTATATATATGTATATATCTCTCTCTTCAGGGTTATAGTTTGCCTAATTGTAATTCTGAAGAAACCCTTTGCCTTTAGCTTAAACGTCATTGATTACTAGAACTTTGAAGTAATGAAAAGATGGTTAAAGTCAAACTGGAAGCCCACCTTTTTATGATATTTGAAACAGTGAGATCTATGAAATATTTAATATAGTAGAATGCCAGTATGACTAGAGTAACTGGACACACCTCATTTTAACAAAATTTGGCATATTTGGTATATTTGAGAGCAAATGCTTATTCCTCACATATTGAGTGCTCATCTTTTCACTACTTGCTTTTCACATGGATGAATATGTCCTTAAATTATGGATTCTATAATTTGTAGTGGATATGCCTGTAATCAGAGATAAAATTCAAGGCCCACTTTTGAGGCTTTTTACCAGAATAAACTTGGGTTCCGAAAAATGTCTGAGTTTTGACTAAATGTTAGACCATATCTTAAGAGTCTGAGAAGACTATACTGGCTTAATAATCTTCCATATTCCATAATTAATACACCTAAATACAGAATTGGCATAGATCCATAGATTCAGGACATAGAAGAAACTTGGATTTGTGTTACAGTTTTTAAAACAGAACACATAACCCTGAAAGGTATTTAAGACCCCTCAACTCCCTCCACAGCGTACATCGCTCAGCATATAATTTTCTAAAACTTGTTGGTTAATTGATAAATTATGTAATTTATCCTTTTAGAGCTCATGTGCTTTATGTACAGAAAGGGCTGCTAAAAACGCGAGAGGTTTCTACATTCTCTTACTAGCTATGACTCTCAGTTCAGTTTCCTCATCTGTAAAGTGGGGATGATAATACTTAACTCATGGAATTGTGAATTTTGGTGATGCTATAAAGCCCTTAGCATTGTGCCTAACACATAGAATGTATGATTAAATATTAACTGGTTATTTTCATGCCTGTTAAGATAATGTTTTTTATTCATATGCACAAAGGTGTTGCAGGACATTAAAATGTTCTGTTAGTAAAGAGTACCATGAGGTTTTCATTTATATAGTAAATTAAACGCAGTTTTCAGTTAGCCATTTTCAGAGTGAAAGTGTGCGAAATTAGTCATCGGGTACAGACCAGTTGCCTATTTTATAAGAGATTTTTGTTTTTGCATTAAAATGCAAGTGTTTATGGAATATATTTCAAATGGATTATTTGAAATAAAAGTGTGGTAAATTAGTGATAGTTATTCTACTATCTTTTAAATTTTATTAGCTGATACGTATTTGAAGATCTTATTTATATAGTTGCCACCCATATTCATTGTGCTACTGGTCTACTGACAAGCAACAGTTGAACTCAATACAGGGTTAAGACTGAGAAAGTCATTTTTTCATTAGGGCCACAGGCTGACTAGGTTTGTTGCTGTTTTTAATTTTTTGTTATTTATCAATACTTGAGTGTTTCTTTTCTAAGAAACAGCATGTCAGACACACTGTTCCTTTCTCCTCCCAGATACTTTTGAAAATCTACTTAATAGTGTCTTTGGAGTTTGTACAGTTAGACAAATTTAAGGTTAGCGTGAAAAGTGTTATTATAAAGTCTTCTGACAGTAATGCCTGGCCATAGTTCAAGGCAGCTGCACCTTATGCGGAATAGTGAGCTGAGGTACATAATGTTATGGCTGGCTTCCCAACTTATTAAACCCAGTACAACTGGATGCTCTTTCAAGGAGCCTTACATGGCAGCAGCAGTAGAAATTTTTATAAAATTGAAATAAGCTTTTTCAAATATTATACAGAAGATATGCACTGCCATACCTTGCCAACTAAGATTTTTTTTTTGTACTGATACTTTAGAATACCTGATTATACCCATTTGAGTTAATATTAAGTTTTAATTCCTCAAGCTGAGAGTTGATAACACTTCCATTCTTGAAAACATTGGAATAATAAATACTTTTTAAATATTTTTTATTTTTTAATTAACGTTGACAGTCAATAATATTTTATATTGGTTTCAGGTGTACAGCATAGTGGTTAGACATTTATATAATTTAGGAAGTGATCACCCTGATAGATCTAGTACCCTCTGACACCATACATAGTTATTATAATATTATTGGCTATCTTCCCTGTACTATGCTTTACATCTTCATGACTATTTTGTAACTTCCAATTTGTACTTCTTAATCCCTTCACCTGCCTATCCCAAAACCCCTCCCATCTGACAATCATCAGTTTGTTCTTTGTATATTTGAGCTGTTTCTGTTTTATTTGTTCGTTTATTTTGTTCTTTATCTAGTCTGTTGTTGGGTACTTAGGTTGCTTCTGTATCTTGGCTATTGTAAATAATGCTGCAGTGAACATGGGGGTGTATATGTCTTTTCAAATTAGTATTTTGGATTTCTTCAGATAAATGCCCAGAAATAGAATTGCCGGGTCCTAAGGTTGTTATATTTTTAATTTTTTGAGGAACCTTCATACTGTTTTCCACAGTGGCTGCATCAGTTTGCAATCCTACCAACAATACACAAGAGTTTCTTTTTCTCCATATCCTCTCCAATACTTGTTGTTTGTTGATTTGATTGTAGCCACAATAATAAACCTTTAAAACTTGATGAATTTGTAATATATTGTTGCTATTTTAATTATAAAATTTCACTAGCAACATTTTCATGATCTATTGTAAATATGTTGGGCAGTCTGTGTGTCAAAGAGGTGTGGTTACAAATGGCAGCAAACTTGTCAAATAGTTCCTATAGTTCCAAACCACAAAATCAGTACTTATCTTTGCAGTGACACCTGCATACAGTGATTATAATTTATTATTTATAACTTAAAATAACTAAGTTATTGTAAAGTATGTCACTTTTTTCTCAGTATACTAATCTTTTTCTGTCTTCCACTAATCCCTATAAATTCTAATGTTTAGTAATAACACATATGCAAAAAATTAAATCACATAATCAAACAAAACGTTAAGTTAACTTTGTTTCCCCAATAATAAGGTTATGTAATTAAACAACTTTTCTTGTACCTGATAAGATGTGAGCATGTGTATCCTTTTTCCAGAATTTGATTCTGTTAGTCGTTGGCTGATAGTTGAAATAAGAGATGAGTTATTTAATCTTGGCTCAAAGCTAGTTCTCTACCTTTTTTCTAACAATTTGGTTTTTTATTCCCAGATTTTACCCTTTAGTATTTTGCATCGTCTTTCCTTCATAGCCTCCACAAATAGCTATTAACTTAATTTTTTTTCCTGCAGATTTCAAAAGCCTACACTTTGTGATCTGTGTTGTTCCTTCTTTGCCTTCTGAATTGTGGATTTGTACCTTTTCTATTAATTTCTACCTGTAGGCTCACTTCTCTAGGCAAATTATGAGATTTTTGAGCCTTCTTATTTCATAAATACTAGATCACATAGCATGTTTAAGTGATTGTTCTTATACCCTGCTTGACTAATGTTTTCATCTACAACTCCTTAAACTACTTCCTCTCCAAAAGAAATTAAGTATGGAAAATAACTTTGACTTTTCTTCTCGAAAGACAGTAATTTGATATTGTCTAAGAATTTAAAGTACTATAATTTGAGTTCTCCCAACTTTAGTTTCATCAGTGATAGGTATAAATTACCCTTGTGGGTTAGTTGTGCAATTAATTTCACTAACTTGTCTTCTACGTGAAAGAAATTCCATAACTGGTATAAAATATCACTATACAGTATGAGTTAGAAGTTTAACTGCAGATTTACCTTGCTGCCATGACCCTCACTGGGGAGGGAAGATGTGGGATTTAAGAGAAAAAAAAGTTAATGTGGGGGAAAACATATCACTGTATATGTATGCAAAGCTATGGCTTAAATGAACATAAGGCCTTCATTTTAAAAGTCCTCTTTTGAAAGGAGCTTGCTTATTACAGAATTGCTGTTTAAAAATAAGTATCTTTTTACTGGAAACAACCCAAACGCCCTTCAATGAGTGAATGGTTCAACAAACTGTGCTATATTTTATACCATAGAC